GGGCCCTGTCTGGGGAGCAGGGTGGCCATGGGCAGTGTGGGGCTTCGGCCCAGCCCCAGAAAGGCTGATTGACACCTCAGCCACCCCCCTCAGCGCGGCCTAGGCCTGGCCCAACTCTTGTAGTTGTGATTATGTTAAACTTTAACTCTTTAGTGCTCAGATAAAATTTGCAAAACCTCCAGCTTTCCTTTGAATATAAAAGGGAATAAGAAGATTTCTGATGTCAGTGAAGCAAGAACTAAGTTTTTTTTAAATAGAAGGAGAATGAGGAGATGTTGTCAAGATAGCAGAAAATCCTTTGGTAAGATTGTAGGGATAAACTAATATACTGAATATTCCTATAAACCATGAAGAAAGACATGGGGGGGTTGGAGATGTTCCATTTGATAGATGATTTAACCAAAGAGCACCTGTGTTGAAAATCTTTGGCCTGAGGAAAAGAGGGGATCTCGGTTTTCTGAGGATAAAGCCTGAACAGAGAGAAAAGAGATGAAGAGAACCTTTGCTTTGGAACATTTAATTCTTAAAAGTAATACCCCATGAGACAGACATGGCCCACATCTACAGCTTTGGGAAGGCTGTGGAGTTGGGAGGAGCATCAAGATTGCAGGTTCCTGGGCGGATGCAAATCGTGCAAATGAAACCACGACAGGACTGTTTTCTTCCTTCTTGTGGAAAAAATCCCTACAGCTTCAAAGAGAGGAAACTTCTTTCTCTGGAAGTGAACTGAAAAGAGTAAGTTGGGAACTGACCGAAGTAGTTATTCTATGTTTGTTTTGTTGTTATGAAAGTTGAGAGAAGGAAAGAAAGAGTAGTCTGAAAAAATCTTATTCTGAATTTCTTTTTTTTACCCTCTTTGTTTGTGTAGTTAATAAATTTCTTTTTTTTATACTCTCTTAAGTTTTAAGCCTGCCTTGTTTTTTTTTTTTTGCTCCTGGTTCTGTCTCACAACAGAAAAATAAGTTTATTTAAATTAGCAAATCAAAACGAAAACATTATTTAGTGCACTAGCCAGGAAACAAAATTAAACCAAAACAGTGTTGTACCTGTTCTGTGTATGCAGGTATACATGAACTTCCCACTGATTGGCTGTCACCCAATGAGCCAGTTGGTGGAACAGGATACGGATCCTTTCTGGTGTTCATATTCACAGGATGTTATCTGAACATTAAACTTTATTTTATCAGCTCATTAGGAAAGGAAACAAATCGAACAAGGGTCCAATGCCCTTTGCACTGGTCTAACAGTAAACATCACTAATCCAACATTTCAGCAGCTCATGAAGCTTCCAACTCATTAGTTACATAATCCATGATGCACAGGTCCTAACTCCTGCTCCTGAGCACCACAGGGAGAAGCTGTGTGGGCAGGGAGAGGTGCAAAGGGTGTGAAGGACAATGCTGCCTAAGGGCTGCAGGGCTGCTGGGGCAAGACGCTGTTGAATGGGGCAGGGACTTCGGGGCAGAAAGCACACAGTATCCCAAGAAAGTGTCAGGGCCTGTGTACCATCCTCTTCCTCTCAGAGTGTGCCTGTCCTTCCCAGCCTTTCTCAGTCTTTGCTCATTTTTGCTGGGCTCTAGGGCTGCACCCAGAGTGCATAGACATGAGACTCTCCAGGGTATGCTGGTATCGACTGAACACAAATAGTTGACATGCCTAGTGGTCCAGATTTTGGTCAAAAGTCACCCTAAATCCTCATCTTCACCCTTGCACCCTTGCACCCTCATCCTCATGCCTGCATTCTGCACAGAGCCCTCAGATCATCCCCACTGATCCTTGGCACTGCCCTGGTCATGCTGGGCTCATTCTCCTGCTTCCCCTCCCCAAACACTCACTGTGGCTGTCACCAGCACCATAAGTACCCAAAGACTTCTCTGAGTGGTCTGAGGCTAAAGCCTTGGGACCCCAGTGCAAGTGGAGGGTGAGGCTGGGAACCTTGCACAGCAGGACATGAGGCCACTGAGAACCATGGTGGCCCAGGACATAAGACTTAATTTCTGTCATTTCATTACCCCCACAACTGCAAATTCCCTGGCTCCCGGTTTCTTGTAAGAAGGTAGACAGTAGGACAGAGAATGATCCAAGCAATGTGCTTGCTTAATAAGGAAACTGAAAGTGAAACTGTAGAGTTTACAAGAAATCAGCACTGGGACTGCCGCACCTCTGCATCATAATCTGTGTTCATCAGCTCTCCTAACTATTGCACATCCTGTTCCTGACCTTGACATGATCCTGCCCTTTTATTGACTTTTCATTTACCTTTTCCTCTTGCCTGATATGTGCAACCTGGGCTGCTCGTGTCCAGCCTGCAATGCAGATTTTCCTACTTGGAGGTTTCCCTACTGCTGTGGCAGCAGGATTGCTTCCTTCATCTTCCAATTCCCTGGACCCACTGCAGACCACCTGGACCCACTGCAGATCACCTGCTGTCTCTGTACACATACCTTGCCCAGTCCTCACGACTCTGTCCTTCTGTCCATGCCCTGCAGTGACCAGAGAGTGCTTTGAGACACGGGAGCTCCTGCACAGCAGGATGGTAACTTAGAGCCAACCCTCAACCAGTAGACATGGGGCTAAAGACCCCCAGGCTGGGTGATGTCAGTGGGCAGCCCCACATAACCCCTCCTGCATCCCTAATTTGCCCATCCCCATCCCTGTGTCCATCCCTGTTCCAGTCCCCATGCCTATGCCCATCCCTACCTCCAATCCCTCATCCCTGCCCCATCCCTCCCACCCTTGCTTTCATCCCCATTCGTGTCCCTGTTCCCATGCCCATCCATGTGCATATCCCCCATCCCTCATCCTTGCTCCCATCCCCACCCCAAATCCCTATCCCTGCCTCCCATCCCTCATCCCTGCCCCTGTCCCTGCCCCATCCCCGTGCCTCTCACCCTTGCTTTCACCCTGTCCCTGTTCCCATCCCCATCTATGTGCACATCCCCCATCCCTCATCCTTGCCCCCGTGCCCACCCCAATTCCCGATCCCATCCCACCATAACCTACAGCCTCTTCCTGGCTTCATCCCCAGCCCTGTGCCCATCCCCTGTTCACACACCTGTTCCCGTTCCTATCTCCTTTCCCTTCCTCTTCTCAATACCAGTCCCTCCCTCAGATACCGCCCAGGGCTTTCCCGGAAAGCAGTAGCAGAGCCTAAGAATAAAAGTCTGTGAGTCACTGGCACGGCGCGATTCGCGGCCACCGCTGCATCCCGAGCTGCATCCCGATGAGCCGCCGCGTCCTCTCCGTTCTCGCCCTGCCTGTAGGGGTGTCCGTGGCCGCGGCCGCGGCAGGCGTCCAGGTGGGAACTCCTGCTGGGAGACAGGCGTTGGAAACTCGGGGAAGTCTGCCGGGGAGCACGCCTGGGGATCGCGGTGTTCGGGAAGGGTTATGAGCAGGAGAGTCGCCGGAGGGGTGGAACGCGATGAGTTTGTTAGGGGTGGGACAAGCGTGGAGGACCCATCTGCGGGGGGACTACTCGGCAACAGGAGGATCCCCGGCTCCAGCGGGTATCCAGCCGGGACCCTCTGCCGAGGGAGGTGAGGGAAGTGATGCTCCAGGGCTGTCTGTGTGCCCTGCAGGAATGTGCCTGGAGATTCCTTCCCTGGTGCAGGGGCCATGCATGTAGAATTCCCCCAGTTCCCTCCCAGGGACGTGGGGAGAAGCACAGGGACCCTGCCCAAGGGGGTGACTTGCCCCTGTCTCAGACGGGGCAGTGCGGGAGAGAACAGGCAGCACTTAGAACTGCAGGTGGGATGTGCAGGGATGAGATGGAGCCCACTGTTCCACTGAGGGTTGTGCCCATCCCAGTGAGCTTCCCTGTGCTGAGCACAGCACAGGGACCCACAAATAGGGGCAGATGTGCCCTGGATTCACACAGCTCTCTTGCCAGGGCTACAGGTGGGATCCTGCCCATGTTCCTGCCTGTCCGGAGCTCCCACCTTTTGCTTTTCCTCTTTACCTCTTCCCTTGGCTTGGCTTACCCCAGCTTTTGGCTCTCTTGACATAGCTATGACAGCAGCAACTTTACAAATCATATCTTTTAAAAATGAATGCTCAAGCACTTTCAGGACTCCAGAAATACTCTGCAGTGCTACTATCCACAGCGTGACCTGTGTTTTTCTTCTTTTCAAAGCTCGTCTGCCAGGAAGGTGAGCAACATGGGGAGAAAAAGGCCAGTGAGAGAGAGGAAAAGGCAACCAAAAGCAGGTGGTCCCTGAGTAGCCTGGGGAAAGGCACAAGGGATATCAAGGTGAGTGCCAGCACCCCGTGGGCATTGGGAGTTGTGGGCAGGGGGATCAGCTTGTAAGGGCTGTGCACAGGCGGCCCCCCCAGGGACACATCTGTTTATCCCCAGACGTGCAACCTGACTGGATGGTGGGAAAATGATCTGGGCTCCAAGATGCAAGTGTTCAAGGTTGGCAACGATGGAAGCTTCTCTGGCGAGTACCACACCGCTGTGTCAAGCGCCAAGAAACCCATCCAGCCATCTCCACTGAACGGCTCCCAGCATCTGGATGAGGACGGACAGTGCACCTTCGGCTTCACTGTCAACTGGAAGAAGTTTTCAGGTCTGTAGTTGCATGACGGCTGTTGTTGGATGAGGTGGTGGGAGGGAGAGGGGAGTTCAGGCACGTCCCAGTGCCCAGCCCCTCTTTTCTCTCTGCTGTCCCCTGCCTCTCCTTCCCTGATCTCTCCCCACTCTGGATGGTGTCTGCAGACAGCAGTACACCTCCCAAAACAAGGTCTAGGTGAGGCAGCATGAAGGGCTGCTTTGACAACACCTCTGACACACAACGTTTCCCTTCAAATGCCCACTCGGGCTCCATGAGCATTAAACCCACTGATGCCTGTGAAGCTCCAAGATCAGATGAGATGCTAAGAGCCACCACTGCTTTAGACTCCACAGCTGTCTTCGTGGGCCAGTGCTTCAATGGGGATGATGGGAAGGAGGTCCTGCACACCTCCTGGCTACTGCGGGAGAAAGTTGACTCCGAGCCAGATGACTGGAAAGCCACCAGGTGAGCCAAGGTACCCCCCAGTCCACCGGGGATCCCTACCCTGCTGCTGGCTGGGCACCAATGGGCTACTGCTTCCCCACAGGACTGGCCGCAACACCTTCACTCGGATAGGCTGAAAGGAGGGAGAAGCATCTTATTCTGGATGCACTTGAGAAACAGGAGTCATTCCAGCAGGATCAGTGTTTCCAGCTCTGGAGGGAAATGTCTTAAAACACATCAAATAACATTAAAGATATTTAAACACAACCTTGTGCAGTCTTTGGATATGTCCTTAAAAAGCTGGGCTAAAACACGGTGGAGGTGGGTGTGTGATGAAACTGTCATTTCCTTATTCTGGGAAGAGACTGGCCCCAAGAAAGCCCCTTTTTCAGCCCAAACAGGATGGTGCATCCCCAAAGTAACTCTCTGACACTGTGACCAGCACTCACTCTTTCCTGATGAAAACCTGGTGAGTGTGATGGGAGGGGAGCTCTTCTGCATCCAAAAAACCTGGTTGGGTGGCCCCTGGAGGCTCTAACACGGCCCTTAAGCAGGCAGGTGAGGGGCCTTGGCTGCATCTACACTCTTGAAAAGTGCCAAGGGCTGCTCTGTACCAGCCACACAGGGCCAGTACACCCTGCAGTACACCCAGTCCAAAACTCTTCCTGAGAAACATGTGATTTACTGAAAAGCTAATGACCAGCAAATACAGCTTCTCAAATCTCTGCCCAATGTACCATATGACTGACCAAAACAGGCAGTGCCTCTGCTGCCTTAAGCACTCCTCTAAGCCAAAGCAAATGATTTCCAGGAAATCAGCTCTGGGTCTGAATCTGAAACTTAGTTCTTGTGTCTGATTCTCAAAATAACCCGGGACAGTACTGCCTGCCCTGAGCTGGAATGTTGCCTGGGATTTGACAAACTTAAAAGTAGGACTGAGCTGCTGGGACTGCCACCCCCGCTAGTCCCTGGCTTTCCTGCCAGAAATGCTGTGGGTGGGAGAGCTTTGCAAACAGCACCTGTGGCTTTAGCAATTTTGCCTGCTCTGTGTTTTCACCTGCCTTGTTGCAAACTCATATGTGGTTTGCTTCTCATGTCTTTCTTCCTAGGGTTCATGCTTCTAGAGCAGTCCTGCTGTTCCCTTCTCAGTGCCTCACTGGCATTTCTCCAGCTTTTTCAGTTCCCTTACAGCATTTCTGACCAGAATGCCTTTACCAGCTGTCTGCTATGCATTTATGTATCTGCACAGCCTCTTACATGCTTTTAAAGGAGGCTGAGAACTAAAAAAGTGAGAGGCAGAGGGACCAGAGGACTCTGCTCTCACCTGAAGCATGACCAGCTCAGCAGTGAGGCACTATGTTAAGCCTTCAGCCTCACTGCATTCATCCTCCTGACCTCGTTATTACCTTCATGCCAACATTTCCCCAGGGCAGAGCTTTCCTGAGGCTGTGCAGCATTCCCAGGCTGCTTCATCAAGGCAGCAGTGCTGACCACAATTGAAGCATCCTGCAAACCCCAGCAGGCAGCCACAGTGCTGGTGAGAAACATGGCAGGCATGAGCTGGCAGAGCTATTTCCAAGGCCAGTCCCTACATGAGGGCACCCAGCTAGGCTGCAACGCCTACCTGGCAGACCTCAGATTTGGAGTGATAGGACATGGTGTGCCAGGGGTGTCTGCAGGCATCTGAGAGTGGTTAAAGATGGGGATGTTTCTCTGTGGACATTCTGCATCCCTCAGCTCTGGGTGTTACTCAGCTGCAAACCTGCTCATGGTGCTGGCCTGCTAACCCAGCACCATTTCTTTCCTTCTAGCACAACCTCATCAACAAGGCAAGCATGAGCAGGGCTTCTCCTTCAACTCCATTGCTGGAAAATCCACTGTTTCTGCTGCATGACAAGCCTTGACCAGGGTCATTCATACACTCTGAATTCCTCCTAGGACATGGGGAGATGGTGGAGGCAGGAGGCACCTGAAATCACATGGACATGTCAGTATGGCTCAGCTGTTTGCACACAGAGTATATCAGTTTCAAAAAGCCCCAAAAACTAAATTTATTAGGATCTTGGCATGGGGTGATGCTTGCATAAGGATCCAATCCCTTCAAACAGATAGTCACTGTGAGAAAGGAGAAGGAGTTTCAACTGCAGGGGTCCTCCAGCACTTATATGTCTTAACCACATGTGGAAAACTGTCCTACATAACCATTTCTGTGGGGACTGCTCCTGTCAACCATTTACAAATGTCTCAACACTGAACATCTGGTGCCCAACATCTCTCTCAGTGCAGCTGTTGACCCACCTAAGGAGACGGAGGCAGGGAATTCCCAGGTCTCAAAGGACTGCATAGTTGGTGGGTTTGGGTATACCAAATCCTGGTACTCTTCCACTCTGCAGTGATGAAAAAAGAGTAAATTTGATTTTCAAGCCATAACTTCGTTGATGAGTGAAGACATATAGGTCCCATCCCCTCCACCATTTCTGTGTGGTCCTCTGGTCAGGTCCACACATCGTGCTCTGCTCTTCCGCCTCTCTCCATGACTCCTGTTCCAGCTGTAGCCTTGCCAGCCACAGACTGCCATCCTGAGAGAATGAAGGAGCTCCTTGGTTATGTTCTCAGCCCTTCCTGGGGCTGGTTTGGAACCAGACATCTTCCCAGATATGTTCTGCCTACCTATCCTACAGCTGAGCTCATCAAATTTATCAGTATAACCCCTTGTGTGGATGAGGGACCTGCAGCTTGTCCAGCTTGCCCTACATGGCTCAGAGGGTTACTCACTCCTGCCACCCTGCCCCACCCAGGCTGTGCTGTGGCACCAGTGCTGAGTCCCCTCCACTGCACTGCACCTCGGCCAAGCAGGGGGACACTGACCTTGGCTGCAATCTAACCATCTCCTCTGTGAACAGAAAAGGCAACCTCACTGGCTGCTCCCACACACACTATAATTGAGGTCTGGGTGTCACTGCTGCAGGTGACACACTTGATGACTCAGAAGAGCTACTTTCAGGTGTCAGCTAGAGCTTTTCAAGTGCTTCTCCTTTCCCAGCCTCCTTCTTGTATTCTCAGAGCTCCTCTAGTCTCCACTGAGATGTCCTTGGAGTATCCCTGCCCTTCCTGTGATGTCCATCTCAGCTGGGCTCATGCTACCATGCCCTGCATATTCCATGCATGTTCAAGGTCCCAGCAGGACAGAAGGCTGGGGAGGGAGACATCTCCCACTCACAAACAGCCTTTCCCACTGGTAACCTGTGTGCCTAAGAGGGACAGCCCCATCACCATCTCATCCCATGCCTTCACAGACTGCAGGCTCCATCACTGCCTCCATGGGCCAAAGCTGCATAGCTGGGGACAGAAGGGAAGTAGTGAGGATGACATGGATCATGCAAGATGAGGCTGACATGCCCAAGGATGACTGGAAAGCTAGTGGGTGGGCTGCTCAGCACTTGTCCATCCTTGCTCTGTAGTGGAGCTGCCCTTGTGGGTGTTGCATGGAGCCCACAAGGGAGTGCCAAAACCTGAGTGCTGGGAGCCAGCTGGGCAGCAAACAAGGGAGAGTGGTGTCAAGATCCGGAGGGCTTTTGCAGCAAGTCTCCATGACGGGAATTGAACACAGCTCTATAATTTTTTGATTAAAAACAAAGTGCAATTTGAAAATAAGATCCTGCCCCCCAAGGAAGAGGAGAGTCTGTTTCTTTGTCTTCAGGCCTAGGAAAGATAAAAAGGGTTGTTAAAGCAGATCTCATCCCTTGTGCTTGGGCAGGGGCCAGAGAGGCAACTCATGATCTGGACACAGCTAGATGCCATTTCTGTCTTCCCCTTCAGCATTGGGAGTGACGTGTTCACCAGGTATCTTAGAGGATGTGTCTGTGCTGTGTCCCTGTGCAAATGCAAAGCAGTCTGAGCACGCCTATTACAGCCTTGCACCATCAGGAACCGCTTGGGAAGGGTCAGACAGAGCCCTGCCCAGCCTCAAAGCATCATGCATAGGGCATCTCCGCCCACAGTGTCTAGGGAGGCACTGTGCACAGAACATACCCTCCCACAGGAACAAGGAAATTTTAACATCTACAGATCTTCCAGGAAAGCCCTTCTGCACTTGGAATAATAACTAATTCAAGAGTTCCTGCTGCAGCAACAGTCTTAGGTCCCAAAGCCAAGGAAAGCCCAGCAGAGCCAGGACGAAAAACAGTTTAGAAAGAGCTGCAGGCACTTGTAATGTAGGAGGGGACGGTGAGAGGGGTAGACACGACAGCAGCCAGCACAGCAGAGCATAGCTGGCTGGACTTCGCTTGCTGCAGCCTGTGTTTAGGGTCGGTGGCAGCGGGACAGTGTCAGGCGGTGCCCGCCCTCCGGGCTCCGGCACTGAGCAAGGAACGGGGTCGGCAGAGCCTCTTGGACAGCGGATGTGTAAATCATCGCTGCATCCCCATCGTCCTGCACAGCCGTGCTCATCGCCGCGTTCCTCCAGCGCTGCCCAGGTCAGGCAGACCTCCTCACCTCACCTGGCCTGGGCACGCTGACATCGGGTCACTCACGCCGCAGCGGACAGCCGTCTTGGCTCCGGTTACAGCCCTATAAAAGGGTTTGCCATGCAGGGGGAGCTGGGCTGGATATTTCACAGCCCTGCAGCCATGGGGGGCGGTGCTTTCATCCTGGTCCTTGCCGTGGCCCTGGCAGAGAGTGCTGCTCCGGCAGAGAGGAAGGTATGGGAATGGGTGACAGTGGGACCATGGCAGACAAGGCACTGGGATACAGTGTGGGCAGCCAGGAGTTCTCCCTTAAATGTCATTTTAGGCTTAGACAAGCAGGAGAGCTTTGCAGGATCCAAGTCCAGGCAGAGTCAAGGTATCCCTGGATCACCACCTGCCACCTGGTACCACCTCCAGAAAGATCTGTTCCCATGAGGGAGCTATGCACAGGGCATTCCTTCCCTTGGGGTTTGTGCCTGGGAGCACTATGCCTGTGGCATCCTCTCCAACTTCTGGGTCTGTGTCTGGGTGTACCGTGCATGCTGCAGGGTTGGGACACTCTGGCCTTGCTCTGCTATCCTCTCAGCAGCACCCTGGGGAAGCATTTCCCCAAACTGGGATTAGGGATAGCCAGTGCTCTGCAGCTGCACTCATAGCAGGGCTTCTGGCTCCCCTGATGTGGGGCAGGAGCAGGAATGGGGGTCCCTCTGAATGTGGGGACAGAGAGTATGTGGCTGTATTCTTTCAGTGCCAGCTGAACGGACTGTGGAGGAATGACCAGGACTCACTGATGGAGATTTC